TTAATACATTTTTAATATTAATAAATATAGAAATTTATACCTTTCACGAGTTCATGTAAAATTTAGTTTAAATGAAACGAGCAGCTCGTTAATGCTCGAGTTCAGTTCGACTTGTTTAATAACCAAGACAATTTGAAGCTCCTTTAAAGCTCGATTCGTCGACGAGTCGAGCTTGGCTTAGCTGGGTCAGGTCGGGTAGTTAGTGTTTGAAAAAAGAGAGTTTTATATGATTTTATGTAGATAGACTTGTTAAGGCTCGAATTCAATTCGTTAATTAAAGCTCGACTCTTTAATATTGATAAGTAAGGTGAGCTCGAGCTCCATTACCTTGAGCTCAAAAGTTCGACACAACTCACTTAAGATGAAGTTCTATTGGATTGACAGGACTCACTTAAGATGAAGTTCTATTCGATTTACCTTATCATTTCATTGATTGTTTAGTTGACGCCACTTAACATGAAGTTCTATTTGATTGACCTGATCATTTTATTGATTGTTTAGTTGACGCCATTTTGAAGAAAAAATAATAACAGTTTAATACAACCCGACTTGTAAGTATTATATAAGTTTAACTTATAACTAATTTAATTAGTTCATAAGTTTTTTTTTCTTTTTCAAATATATTTAGTTTGTTACGAGAGAGACAAGAGGTAATTTGTGGAATGATCATCTCAATCGGATGATACAACTATCTATTAACTAAGAATATATATACAAAATTAGGGCTACAAATAATCTAAGGATAATACGGTAAATATACACAATAACATCCCCCTCAAGTTGGAGCATGCAGATTTCGAATGCCCAACTTGCCAAGAAAGAAATCAAATTCACGCTTCCCAAGTGCCTTAGTGAAGATGTCAGTGAGTTGTTCCCTAGAACGAACATGAGTAGTAGAAATGAGACCTTGTAGAACACCATCACGAACAAAGTGACAATCCACCTCTATGTGCTTGGTTCTCTCATGAAAAACTGGATTCGCTGCAATATGCAGCGCAGATTGGCTGTCACAGTGTAAACGCATAGGCTGAGAGTGTGCGACACCAAGAGTAGACAACAAGCCCTGTAACCACTTCAACTCGCACAATGTAGTAGCCATTGCTCGATATTCAGCCTCAGCAGAAGAGCGAGCGACAGTAGGTTGTTTCTTGGTTCGCCAAGAAACATGAGACTGACCCAGCTGAATAAACCAACCTGAAAGAGAGCGCCGAGTGAGAGGGCAAGACGCCCAATCCGAATCACACCATGCATAGAGTTGAAGATCACAGTCAGTACGAAGATGAATCCCCTGGCCTGGAGAGCCTTTCAAATATCGAACCACACTTAAAGC